GTAGGACTATCATTGTGGAAGTAAACAAAGCATGCCTCAAAGTCACTCTGTTCCTAACTAACCTTAACGTGGTGTGTTGGATCTTAATTATTAGCCCTTTCTGTAATTCCTATTGCCCCTTAGCCTAGGGAGCAAAATTACTCTGAGGCAAGGAAGATAAAGTTCCCACTTAGCTTCTGGTCTGCAGTTTTTACTGATAGAACCATGACATGGTAGAAACAAACTGGACTTGGAGTCAGAATATTTGGTTTCAAGTCCTGACTGTTCTTGGTTTTATGACCTTGAGCAAGGTCATTTCCCTCCTGTGGGTCTCAAATCCATCTGTAAAATGCAAACAATAAATACCTCACTGGATTTTTTTTTTGTGATGAAAAAAGGAGATAACCTATATGAGAATGGTTTATAAACTGCAAAGTACTATGAAAATATGAAGGATTATTATGATCGCTTTGGAACCAGCCTCAATGAAATGGTACAGAATACTACCACCCGTTCAGACCTCGTAAGAACCTAAAAACACAAAGAGAGCCATCTTGTGCACTCAGGCAGCCTTCTCTGCTAACCCCAGGTTCCATACAGAGCTGGCCCAACAAGGACTCCTCGGTGGAGCCAGTGCCTTTGAACGGGACCCAGGGGCTCAGGTGCAGGGCATGGGGCCAGCAAATCCCCACTGGCAGTGAAGACCAAGGACTAGAACCCCTGACAGAGATGAGAGCTGCCTCCTACCCCTTGGATGTTCTTCTTGGACACCTTAACTAATTTTGTTGGCTTCCATTCCTCATCATCCCCATCATCGTCATCATCACCAGCACTGTCCTCAGGCTCATTCACAGAATGCTCTGAATAATATTTTAGATCCTCGATGTCCATGCTTTGCTCCAGGAACTTTTCTTTAAAACGGGAAGGTTTCGGCTAAGAAGAAAGGTTTGGAATGATCAGTTAATAAAATTTTAAAAACACACGTAGATCAAATCTTCCCAGTAGCTGCTGCCAGCTATCTTCTCAGAGCCGAGATTTCAGACTCCCTCAAATACAGCCCCTTGGCTTTCCCAGTCAGAATTAATTCTGCTGTAGCCTTTGGCCTTACAGAGTCTTTGAAGGGATGGAAACTGAAGGGGTAGAGGCTGAGCAATCTGAGGGAGGAAAGAAGGACTCATGATATGATGAGATAAGTATCTTTGGATGGACAGCTGAACACTGCTCTTTTCTCCTGCTCCCCCTCCATTGTTACATAATGCCTCTACATGGCCAAAAGTCAGCCTTCTGGGGAGGGAGAATGCCTATTTTCCTCAAGAGTGGACTGTAGTTTTATTTGGGACTCCAGGGCAAACGGAGATGCTGGAATTTGGGATTTTTTAAAGATTTTATTTTTAAGTAAGCTCTGCACTCAATGTGAGGCTCGAACTCACAACCCTGAGATCAAGAGTCACATGCTCTACTGACTGAGCCAGCCGGGTGCCCTGGGGTTTGGGGTTTTTCACCCTCAACCTCTTCTGAAAGACGAATCTAGCACACTCACCCCCAACCATGGCCACACGAAGGTATGACCAGCACTGAGCAGTTTACCTTAGGTGGGATATATTCGAAAGAAGAGTCTGGAGATAGAAGGGTATCCTTAGGAAGAGGAGGTTTCTGTCTGCTGGCTACCTGGAGGAGGGTCAGTTTCTGTTTGAAAAGAGAATGCACAGTGTATACTGCAGGGCAGCTTCCGGGAGCGTTAATGGCTAAAACATAAGGATTCCTAAGTTAGCCGCATTGAAACCATAGTAAAGCGGGCTGGAGGACTCTCACTTTAGAAGATCAGTATTAGATTCAGAAAAGAGCCGATTAAAATATGTGTGTTTATACCATTTTGAAATGCACATGACCATATCATACGGAAAGTCGCTATAGACCTCAAAAATAGAGCCGACTCCTCATACTCGGGGCTGTTCCCAAGAGCTGCCCTCAGTTGCAACAGGGTCTCCCAGGGCTTATTAGAAGTGGGTGGGAAGCCGTGTTACCTGCTTGATGATTTCATTCTCTCGGAGAAGCTGCTGATTTTGCTCGCACACTTCTCGCATCTTCTCAAGTTCTTCATCCTATTTCCAGATAGCGCAGTGATAGGTGGGGTTATTTTCGGCACTACATGTGGGTTACCAAACAACTCACATAGATGAAAACACAGAGCTGCCAAGTTGCTGGAGCAGATGGTTTTTGCACAGCAGGCACCGGCACCCAGAAAAATGCCTGATTCCCACCAGTGCCGAGGTGTCCCGAATGCCACTTCTAGTCCAACGCTCCCAAGCGGTCCTGACCGCACTCAGAGGAGCCATGCGCTCTGCCCTAAATGCTCTCCTTATTCTCTTCTATTCTCAAGCCTTACGTCCCTTACACATTCACATCAGGATGCTGATTAAGAGACCCACATGGACGGTTAGCTTTGTTTCTTTCAAGTCTACAGATGCTTTTGTTTACCCTTCTAAACACAGACTAGGCAGTTTATTTGCTACTCTAATAACCCTGATTAAACTTCCTGGCACTTAAGACAACCAGATTCACAATTCGTGCATACGACTTTAACTAGTTTGGTTATGTCTTTGATGGGAGGTGCCAAGGAAACCCTAGAGACTTGTGCTTCAGGAAAAAAAAAAAGGATTCTAAGTTGGACAAAATAGTGTTCCAACATGCTGCTAAGGGGTGTGGTGTTCCCAGGCTCTGGGAGATATTCAGACCCCAGGCACTTTACAAACATGTCAGGTCTCAGCTCAGAACAGGCTCAAAAAGAGAAAGCTGAATGCCCTTAGGATTCTATGGGATGACTGAACTTTCTCAACCCTTTTGGAGCTCAGGGCTGAGGCAAGGAACCAGGAGGCCTCAAAGTCTGGTGTGGAGTACGTAATGTCATTTCCGTACCAAAAAGGAGGTTATGCTATGCATGGTTACATTCTAAACACCCCTAAATTGATCAAATAGGGCCCAAAGGCCATAGAGGTTACTATTATAAACCCCTTTTCAGTAGTTACTCTCCGCTGCAAGTACAATGGTGTAAATCAGCCAGGATTCGCAGCCGGGCTTGCGGACCCCATCTCTAGAGACCCTCGCCCCATTATCATACCTGGCACTTGAGTATGCTCAGCAGCTGCTGCTCCTTCTCACTCACTGACTCCTCTAGCTGCTTCTCTGCCATTTGGCTTTGCTGCAGCTGGCTGAGAAGGTAGAGCACCTAGAGAAAGACACGGCCCAATGGGACCAACAGCATGACAGGAGAAAGGAATTCCGGCTTAGTCCAAGCGGTGACCCAGAGGAGTCCTCTGACTTAGAGGTCCCTGCTATCTTTCCTTCTCATGGCTTGAAGCAGTAAGCGCAGCCTCGATGTTAATCTTGGTCTCAAAGGTGGAGGCTAAGAGCCACCGTGTGTGTCCGCTTCGACAAGTAATTTCTCTCTTTCGGGTTCCTCGTTTGCAAAATTTGGAAAAGACGACTACACAGGCCTTCGGAGGCAACTTCATACCCTACCCCTCACTGTCTTTTCAAAACTAACAACAAAAATGACGCTCTGTTTCTCAGTATAGCTTCTGGGCTTGCCAGAGCTTACCTTCTCTTGGTGCTGCTGTTCCACCCTGACCAGCTCTGCCTGTAACTCGGTCTCGATTTCGGCAAAATGATTTCGTTCCTCAAACAGCATCTTCTGCATGTCAGCGCAGCTGGCTTTGTTCTGTTTCAGGCTGCTTTCAAGCTTGCTGACCTGTATTTTGGAGGAGACCAGCTGGAAGGGATAAAAGAAGATGAGTTTATTTGGAGAATGGCCACCTTTCCCCATTCATTCGGCAGGAGAATGTCAGCTTTCCTGAAACGGACTGAGAAAAGTTCCTCCATGTCCCGAGTCCATTTTTTTCCTATGTCACATGGATTCTACCAGTGAATAGGAACAACGCCACCCAGGCCAAGAGTCCAAGAGTCCATATTTCTGTTGAAATCGAGCTCTTTGAGCTAGGAGCCAAACAGTATCTGACAACTCCAGATACTGATACAGTCAGGATACAAACAGTATCTGACAACTCCAAATTCTGATATTTAAGACTTTCTTCCTTCATTCTGAAGAGGAATCCATAGGACACACCCTTATGGCCAATTAGGTCCCATGTCAGAACATCTGAATTCGCGTGTTGAAACTAGTAGACACGTTAGCTGGTGCTGTAGGTCTGGCTCTTCAGGCTAGACTGATATCCTATGCTGGCCTGGTTTTATAGTCTCTACTAGCCCACACAGGGAACATCATAAATACCAGTGTTCACAAGACTAATCAGGATTTCCTACTTGGTAGGACGAATCTGCTAACCCCATCCAAAAACATATAAAGGATAACATTGCTCAAACTTCCAGAGTTGGAGTTTGTATGCTTGTCTCAAAGTGAAGATGCCTCAGTAACAACGTAAGATGATATATTATTATTATTATTTTTTAAAGATTTTATTTATTTATTTGACAGAGAGACAGCAAGAGAGGGAATACAAGCAGGGGGAGTGGGAGAGGGAGAAGCAGGCTTCCCACAGAGCGGGGAGCCCGATGCGGGGCTCGATCCCAGGATCCTGGGATCATGACCTAAGCCGAAGGCAGACGCTTAACGACTGAGCCACCTGCGTGCCCCGATATATTATTTTAAAGCCAGTGAAGATGTACTTTCCTTAAGATGAATATATGTGAAAAGATGATTAGGTTTCCTCTTTTCTAGATTGTACCTTAAACTTTTTGAATACACATCTCATAGGTGTTTTTTTCTTTTTTTTTTAAAAGATTTTATTTATTTATTTGAGAGCGAGAATGAGAGATAGAGAGAGCATGAGAGGGGGGAGGGTCAGAGGGAGAAGCCGACTCCCTGCTGAGCAGGGAGCCCGATGTGGGACTTGATCCTGGGACTCCAGGATCATGACCTGAGCCGAAGGCAGTCGCTTAACCAACTGAGCCACCCAGGGGTCCCTCTCATAGGTGTTTTAAAAAGTAGTGCAGTATATGCAGAGCGGACACCCAGGACTCCAAGATGGCGTCAGTCGTACCAGTGAAGGAGAAGAAGCTCATGGATGTGAAACTGGGAAAGCTGCCCAGCTGGATACTGATGTGGGATTTCACCCCTAAGGGCATTGCTGGAGCATTTCAAAGAGGTTACTACCAATATTACAAGTATGTCAATGTGAAGAAAGGGGGTGATGCTGGGATTTCTATGGTGCTGGTAGCTTATGTGCTTTTCAACTACTGTCATTGTTACAAGGAACTCAAACACGAGCAGCTACGCAAGTACCACTGAAGAGGGCCCAGTGTGGAGGCACATTCGGCATTCCTGACCATGACCTTTGCCTGGCACCCTTAAATCCTTTCATATTCTAATTCAGAATTAACATCCAATAAAAGATGACTGGTACTTGGAAAAAAAAAAAAAAGTAGTGCAGTATAATAGTTTATGTTTAACCAGTGGCCTACTATGGCATCCTGATTATTTTCCCAATAATAATAGCAGACATTTATGGAGCACTTGCTGTACGCCAGGCACGACAGGTATCAACTTGCAAGTCATATATTTTTCTATGTGACTGGCCTGTACTTGTTCACACCAACGTTTCCCCATAAAACTCTCTAATACTAGTGTCATTGCGGCTTCTACCATGAAAAGTGGCAATAACACTACGACGGTATTCCCGGCTAACATCTTATTTCAACCTATCTAGCCAGACCCCTAATTGCTGGTAGGAATAGTGATGCTTACCTCTCCAATTAAATATTTCAGGGCACACTTGGCTTCCAGGATGGTAGCAATATTCTCCCAGCGGTGTTTTGGCCTGTCTTCACTTTCTGCATCCAGCAGCTTTTGCTGTAGGTCAGCAATCTGAGCACTCCTTCAAGGAAAGAAACGGTGAGACTTACTGCTAGCATCCTCAACACCAAGGAGGAGAGCTCTGTGGGGCTCTTCAGATAGGTTTATGGATGGCGGTATGGGTGAAATAGCATTTAAATAATGACTGAATCGGGGCGCCTGGGTGTCTCAGTCGTTAAGCGTCTGCCTTCAGCTCAGGTCATGATCCCAGGGTCCTGGGATCGAGCCCCACTTCGGGCTCCCTGCTCGGTGGGAGGCCTGCTTCTCCCTTTCCCACTCCCCCTGCTTGTGTTCCCTCTCTCGCTGTGTCTCTCTCTGTCAAATAAAAAAATCTTAAAAAAAAAAATAATGACTGAATCATCTGGCTAGGATCTTATACAGTATCTCAAATCCTGACGCAAAAGGAACCTGAGAGACTATCCAAATGGTTTTATTTTATTAAATACTGGTTGCAATAAATGGGTCATATAGTGGGACTTGGAAAGATTTGTTTTAGTAGGGCTTCTGTTGCAGTGCATTGACTGCAATGTGACTTTGTCTTGAGGCCATGTAAGTTCAGAGTGTGATATAGTGGCTCAACTATGCAAGGAGAAGAGTCAGGTTGGAGACCTGAAGGAAAAAATTCTCAAATGTACAAGCACTGGGGCGCCTGGGGGGCTCAGTTGGTTAAGTGTCTGCCTTTGGCTCAGGTCATGATCCCAGGGTCCTGGGATGGAGCCCCGTGTTGGGCTCCCTGCTCAGCGGGGAGTCTGCTTCTCCCTCTGCCTCTGCCCCTGCTCGTGCTTTCCCTCTTTCTCTCTCTCTCAAATGAATAAAATGAAATCTTTAAAAAAACAAATAAAAAAAGGACAAACAGGTAGATGTTCTTTGCTGGAACCAAATACCAAATTGAGACCGATGGCTAGTGCTGTGAGAGGTTATCTTGAAGTGCCTACCACAGAACAGAGAAGTTTCTTTTTTTTTTTTTTTAAAGATTTTATTTATTTATTTGACAGAGAGAGAGGCAGTGAGAGAGGGAACACAAGCAAGGGGAGTGTGAGAGGGAGAAGCAGGCTTCCTGCGGAGCAGGGAGCCCGATGCGGGGCTCGATCCCAGGACCCTGGGATCATGACCTGAGCCGAAGGCAGACGCTTAACGACTGAGCCACCCAGGCGCCCCAGAACAGAGAAGTTTCTGAGAAGACTAGATACCCTGACCCCGGTTATAGCTTACAGATGCTTTCTGATCAAGTATGGCCTGAGAGCAAGGTTTACATAGTATTTCAGTTTCATTAACAGCTTCCTTCTCAAATTTGCAATGTATCCAGTGAGAGGTAGTATGCCAGCCTATGTGAAACAGACTGCTATGTAGGGTACTATAAAAGAAGATGGGGACCAAAATAATCTAAGGTAGCAGTTCTCAAATCTTAGAGTCTCAGGACCCTTCTACACTCTTAAAAATGACTGAGGACCTCTGAGAAATTCTGTTCATATATATTACAGTATTGAAGGTAAAACTGAGAAAAAATTAAACATTCATTAATTCACTTAAAATAATAATAATCCATTGTAATATATTTTATGAAAGATACATTTTCTAAAACAACAAAATAATTTAGTGAGAAGAGTGGGACTCTGTCACAGTTTTACGAATCTCTGTAATATCTGACTGTGTAGAAGACAGCTGGATTCTCACATCTCCCTCTGCAATCAGTCTTTTGTGACATGTTCTGGTTGATGTTAATAAAGACAATCTGGCCTCCCAGGGATATGTAGTTGGACCAAAGAGGAGCATTTTAATAGCCTATTCAGATAACTGTGGATATTCTTCTTTGAGACCACACTAAAACCCAACAAGTGGTAGTTCCTTAAAAATTAGTTGAAATGTGGCATCTGAAACCACTGCTAAGTAAACTTCTCTTACTTTCTTATATTAAAATCCGTTGGTCTATCTTGTAATCTGAATGGCTCTTTTATCCACACATGATTCTGTAACATATCATTTGTACAATGTTGAGTGATGCAAAGTCTCCAAATGTTAACACATTTCATTATATAATATAAAAAAAATAAACAACTCTTAGTAATCACCACTGGTCTCCTCGGAAAAGTTAAGAAAAACTGTCAAGCCCTTGGGGGCAGATAAAAGTTTTCCAGAATTCTAAGTTTTGCTTGAAAGCTCAATTCTATCTTTAGTGACAAACACTACCAGTTGTTTTTCTTGAAGTGACAAGCTCACTCTGTTCACTTTTGAAAAAATGCCTGCCAAGTACTCAAGCCTGAATAACCATAGTTCATCAGTGCTTCTTCCGAATACAACGGATGTTCCATGGAAAAAGAGGCCTATTGAGCTCACACCTTCAACAATTGCACAAGTGCTTTTCCTCTGGACAACCCTCAGACTTGAGCAAAACAGCACAAGTGCTCTGCGTGTTCTTCCTGTCCCGTCACAGAGAATACTAAATAGATTTGAACTCAAGGGTTGAAATTTAATAAAATTAACAATTTGTACTGCTTTATCAAAGCCATTCTTTTTTTTTTTTTTTAAAGTAGGCGCTATGCCCAATGTGGGGCTTGAACTCAAGACCCCGAAATCAAGAGTTGCATGTTCTACCAACTGAGCCAGCCAAGCGTCCCTATCAAAGCCATTCTTAGGTAAAAGTGATTTAAAGAAACAAACAAACAACTGAGAGTGTGTGGTGGTGAAGTACACAATGACCACTAGCACAGACTGGTGCCCACTGCTTTAATTCAAGCTATGGTATGAACATTTTTTGTCCACTGTTGCTTGGCACCATCATGGCAAATGTCGATGGAGTAAAAACAGCAAATGAAGTCTTCATATTATAAAAATCATTTTAATTGCTCAGAGACCCCCAGGGGTTGCAGACAATACCCCAAGAACTCTGGCCTAATATATAGTCCTTTCCTCCAACAAGCTTATGATCAATTTATATTGACAAGACTAATAAATGTAAAAAATTAATAAATATAAAGATAATATACATCCACTGTACCACATACACGATTGACTACTGTAAGTTCTGACAGGGTTTAGAGAGGAGGATGAGTGGGGGATGAAGTGTCAGGGAAGGCTTCTTGGAAGAGGTAAGCTAGAACACTTCAGGATTGTTGTCTGTCATATGGCCTTTCCTGTCTCCTCTGATAATTCATGTCCCTTAGGTATTTTTAAAATTTAGTTTATGTCTCAGGATGCCTGGGTGACTCAGTTGGTTGGGCGTCTGCCTTCGGCCCAGATCGTGATCCCGGAGTCCTGGGATCGAGTCCTGTGTCAGGCTCCTTGCTTAGGGGGGAGCCTGCTGCTTCCCCTGCTTGTGCGTATTCTCTCTCTCTGACAAATAAATAAATAAAATTAAAAAAAAAATTCAGTTTATGTCTCATCAACTTTAGGGAAATTGCCTTGATTAAACTCACTTCTGTTTAATTGCTCTCTACTTGGCACCTGCCTAACATTTAATCATTTAATTATGCACAGTGGTGTGCAGGTGAATGTTTCACAACCAGCACTTAAAAAACCAGACCCGATTTGTAATTTTGCTATTTCTGTGGTATAAATGTGGTAAGCTATGAAGGGTTCACAACATTCCTGCAATTTTAACAAATGATTCCAACACACCACTGTGGCATTATACTATTTCCACTTGAGAGCAAGGGTGATGCCACCTACTTTCTATATATCCCAACTGCATGCATCCAGTGCAGCATAAAGCAGACACTCAAATGTTGGGTGACTTATAGATGTATCCAAAGATAAACAGCTAGTACGTGTTGCTAGAAAAAAATTTAAATGATCATTAAGGTCTTCTGGGCACTACAAATCTATTATCCTAAGACACTATAAAATCTCTGTGAAAGTTCGATTCCTTCTAGATTTCACAGATACTTAGAAGACAGTAATAGTGATTAGAGCAGCATAATTTCTGGTCTTAGAGCCAGAAAAGGAGAAAGAGAGAATGTTCACTGAGCACTTCTAATATGCCAAGTATTTGCTATGTGCTTTACGTACTAATCTAATGCTCATGATAACTTTACTTATACATTATTATATCTACTTTGCTGATGATCCCTAACGTTCTCTTCCTTCTGTACTGTTGCTCTTCTGCCATCAGTTCTTGATTTCCTCTAAAGTTTTGTTTTTAGCCAATTCTACATTTCAGAGATACTAACATGTGGTGCAACATAAAGAGCATGGGCTTTGGAATTAGATAGACCAGGTTTTTTTTTTTTAAGATTTTATTTATTTATTAGAGAGAAAGAAAGCACAAGCAAGGGGAGTGGCAGGCAGAGGGAAAGGGAGAAGCAGGCTTCCCGCTGACCAGGGAGCCCAATGTAGGGCTCGATCCCAGGACATGACCTGAGCCAAAGGCAGACGCTTAACCAACTGAGCCACCCAGGCGCCCCGATAGACCAGGTTTTGAATCCCAGCTCTGTATAACCTTGAGCACGTTCCTTAAGATTTCTGAACTTGTGGGGCGCCTGGGTGGCTCAGTTAATTGGGTGTCCAGCTCTTGATTTTGGCTCAGGGCATGATCTCGGGGTCATGGGATAGAGCCCTGCATTGAGTTCTGTG